TTCTTTCTATAGACTTTATTTTTAGTGCCCTATCTTCTACTTGGTTTAATAAATCTTTACAAGCCAAAACTAAATACTTCATTATCATAGTCCCATCAGCATAATAATCAAATTCACAATCCATTTAAAATAAATAGCTAAAGGATATGTTGGATATAAACCATCTCAATATCATATATTTGAATACATTTGGCAAGATACACAAGATTCTACAAACAAAGCTACATCTCAATACATATTCTTCTATTAATATTGTTCCTTTAATTTAGCAAAAGTAGTCCAAATTCTTCTATACTCTGCCTATAGACTATCATGAAACTCCATGAGTAATTTTTATTGATCTTCTTTTGTATCTATTACTCATTGTGGCATTCTAATGTTTGATTTTGGCTTCTTCTAAAGAAATCTTTCTTGTAATATAAACTTTTATGCTTTTTTTATAATATATTTAAATTCTTTAATCAACCAACTAGTATACTTGATTAATATGCTCAAATAATGTTTAATATCTAATAACTGTTTTTTATAATTTTCTTCATGAAATGGCTTATCTTCTTTGTTTAATTTTGAAACCAAATAAAATTTTGTATCCACATTATCAATATCTTCAATCATCTCATCTTTTCCATGACATTTTACTCAAAATAATATATCTGCTATTAAATTATCTTTCTTTATAACATGCCTAAACTCCAAATTTAATATCTTAATATAAGCAATTTATTTCATCATTGCAATGTTATATAATTAATAATTATTTTAAGTGAAGGCAAACAATCTATTTTAATCACCACCATTTATCATATCAAATAATCTTTTTTAGCTTTTATAGCTAAAACAACCTCTATGATTCTCTTTTTACTTGTGAATATGCACATTGGCAAGTATTTAAAACCTTAGCTCCAAATCGGGCTGCAAATCTATGTCCATTTAAATCATCTTGACCTCTAGTTTATCCAATGGCAATTGGACTAGTATCCACTATAAGAATCATTGATTTATTGCATTTATAATCAATTTTTTCAATACTAGAGATGATGTCAATAATTTCTTCAATCTTTGTACTACTTTAATATACTTTTTTTTCTATTTAAATTGATAATCTTTGCATAACAATTCATACAATGGATCTGTTATATGAATATAGTGAGAAATCCAAATATGATAAAAGAAACATGGATCCAAAAACCTTTGCATCTCTCTTAAAGAACTACAATCTTCTTTAATTCTCTCAATTGTATCAACTTTGGTTTGATCTAGTTTTCTTCTATAAAATCCACATAAATGTCCAATAATTATGATCTCTTGTACTTGAAATGTAGATTTCATATCTAATAATGTAAGATAAACTTCTTCAAGCTAAGTCAATATTTTTTTATAATCTTATATATAATCAACAACATACTTGCAACATCCTCTTTTACCTAAAGTCTTGTACTTGTCTTCTTTCTTACACCCCTTAATACGAACATCATTCAAAAAAGACATAGTCTTTTTAGTAATAAAATCCCTCAACATCTTCTTCATTTTGTTCATCATATATGCAACTGAATTAGTAGCACCTTGAAGAAGAATACACATTCTAACTAGCCTAGTGGTAATTTCATTTTTGTCATATCTCTACTCCCTTTTGTAAGTTGAAATTGGTCACAGCTTGAATACAAATTATTCATTGAATAGATTGTCTTTCTTGCAAATGATTTAGCAAACTCATCCACTATCTTATAGGGCTAAGAAAAATCGATTGATCACTCTATTGGCTAGCTAAATATTCAACCTTATATTGGACAAATACAATAGTTTTTTCATCTTATTTTGGTAGAAAGTTGGATCTACATTTATTGCTTTCATATCTAATATCACCTTCAAACCTTACTCTATTGAGATTTTGCATGGTTTATATTTCTTCATGCCAAAAATATCTAACATATCAAGAATATATTTTTTGTGGTTTAGAAAAAAATCACAAGGAAGATGATAAAAGTCTATGCTTAAATATTAACTTGATTGTCTTAGACTTGATATGTCAAATTTCTACTTAATTTGAGTTTAAAGCCACATAATGTTATCAATGTTATTCCCATTTATAACAAATCATCAATATAGATGATAAAGATAGTGATTTTTTTTTCCTATTTACATAATATAGATTGTGATTATAAAATCATTGGATATATTTTTTTGTTCTTACTACCTTCCAATCTATGCTAGTCTAAATTTTCTAAAGATCCATCATAAGACCATCATTTAAAATGATATGTTTTAAGAAATCAACTTGAGTTATGTGAATTATACATCTTTTCAACTTGGTGTATAATCATGTATTTCTAAGTTTTTTTAATATACAACAAGCATGAAATTCATTGTTCTTTTGAATTTTTTTGAATAAATTTAAATATTATCTAAATAATAAATTAAAAAATTATATAGAAATTTTTAAAAATTACTTGGTATATTTGTGAGTAAAAAAATTATGAAATTATATTTAAAATACCTATATTTGGTTTAAAATATAATATTTTATTTTTATTACTTATTAAATTTTAAATACTTGAAGATCTATTTTTGTATAGATTTTGTTTGATTTATTGATCAAGAAAAATATCAAATGTATGGAATATCTATTGTTGATAGTGATCTTATTGAGCCTCCAATAATCTACACACATTTGTAGTGATCCATCTTTTTTCTTTGCAAACAAGTTAAAAGCTCTTGTTATGGATTTTAAATGGTAAATAAATTTTTAGTAGATGCTTATCAATATACTTGTTGAATGTGACCAAATCAATTTACAATAAGCTAGAAATTAGTCTAAATGGCAATTGAACTTGTTTTTGAAGATTAAGTAAATAATCATAAGAAAAATACTTTAGAATTTGTTTTATATTTTTCTTATAAAAATATCTTAATAATCTTTATATTGGCTTAGAATGTTGCTTGAAATCTTTCTACCACCAATAATAAGTGTACCATAAATAATATATATAAATTTTTTTACATCATGCATAAAAAATTTTATACCTATTAAAAAATATTTTGATATATTAAACTTATGACTTTCTATGTGAATATTAAAAGTTTGAATTATACTATGGAAAAAATTTAGATTATAAAAAATTTAATCTATTTAAAGATGATATTTTAAAAGTCACAATAAACCTATAATAACTAAGTTGAAATGAAATTTAATAACATTAAATATTTCTAAGCTATTATGACTACTAGTTGATACATCTACAAGAATAGTTTTATGAATAATATTTCCAAAAGATAACAATAACCATCTATGATTTCTACATGTACAAATTTAGTTTTCGTGACTAAAAATATTTCTTATTTTTTAATAAAGTCTTCATTAATAAAACAAGTTGAGGCTCTTAAATCTAATAAGGTAATTCTTTGATCCTAAACAAACATCTATTATAAGGCAAGATAAGAATCCAAGAAGAAAATATGACTTTTACTAGGTATTGCACAAGATTCTAATTGCACAATTCCTATTGTAGGTAGAACAACTCACTTCTAACTTATTGTCCTCTTTAGCAACTATATTTCTCATTTTATAATTATATTTCTTTTTGAATAATTTAGAATATTATACTTAGATTCTCTATAATGTAAGCACAATCTTTCATGACATATGTCTAATTTACAAAATAAGCTTTTTATATGGGCTCCATTTATCCAACTTATATCACAAGTGGCTAATATGTGCTATACATGGCTAACTTCTTGGCCAAGTTTTTAACTTATCAATGATCTACAAAAATGTATAAAATCAAATACTTATTTATAAAGCTTCTCTACAAGTTATCATCAAATTTATTTTCTTACATTTATTTCTATTTAATTCCTTTAATCTAAATAAGTATATATGTTTGTGACATATAGATAAGAATTGAATAGAAATTCTTATTACAAAGACTAAAGCTTTATTTTTTGTACTCTTTTTTTAATTCTTTCTTCAAATATAATTATAAATGCTTCCAAAAAAAACTATGTCATACAAAATTTGTAGTTCTTTACCATCAAGGAGGCAAACCAAAATAAAGACATTTTGATAAAAATGTGCCTTTAAATCCTAGCTAACTATTCAAATTAAAGAAGAATAATCCATAATCTCTAATGTTAAATTTTTTTTTAAATAATAATGATCTACTACTTATAAGAAAAGAATATTAATATAAAGCTAATTAGTCTAAAATCTTTGGAAATTATATATATATTTCTTAAATAATAGATTAATCAACTTAATTTTTAAACAAAAACAAACATGATAAGTTAAATATTTTAATAATAAAATATGACAAGCTATAATCAATCTATTGTCAATTTGAGAGCTTATATTATTTTTAAATATTATTATATGTATTAGATCTTATACATTGATGTTGTTGTTGTTGTTGTTGTTGTTGTTGTTATTTTTTTAATAATTTTTTAAACTTAGCATAATAAAAAAAATTATATATATATATATATATATATATATATATATATGTAATTTTTTTGCAAAGATTTTATTAATTAAAAGATAAGATAATATGGAACCACATAAAATATATAAAGAAGAATATATCAAATTTTAATATAAAAATAATAAATATAACAAGAATTATATGTTAAAAACAAAACTAGTTATTTTTTTTGTAGGGATATGTATGCAAAGGTGCATTACACATTACACAAAGGGGTATCCATGTAATAAAAGGGAGGTGTTCACCTAACAATTATCTTTCATAAGCATCTAAATATATATACATATACATAATTGTTTACATAGCAACACTAAAAGGTCAAATTCTAACCAAAAAGAAATCATTTCACATAACAAATTTTCACCATTATCATGAATATGCTTAAGTGATTATTTTCAGATATCTTTACATATAACTGCAATACATCCAACTTGTCTAACTTGGTTTTTAAAATCTACTTCAGATACCGTACTGCTCAACAAGTACAAATTAGTTCATACAACTTTGACACTCAGTACTCGAACATTGAATGTGGAATGAGTATGCATGAAAAGGAAGATCGTTGATGTTAAAGGAGTTTGCAAAGCTAACAGAAAGTTTTCAAATCATTCTAGACATCAATCATCAGGACCAATTTCTAAGTGGTAACGAAATTGTCCAAAACAGCAGTTCCAGAGCCAGGCCCCACCAAAGTTGCCTCACGGAATACTTTTAAAAAGTCAATTTCATGCTGAAGGTTGGTTGGTTCTAATGGATCATAAGGTACACAAACTAATTTACCTATAACTTACTATTCTTATTCTTCTCCCTAATGTTGTTATTGTCGACGTGCTGTCTTTAGTGCTGATGAGACCTAAGAACACTCAGCTGTTGCTGCAAGACTCTTTGACAGGCCTGGACAAGGATCGTCTCCAAAAATGCTGCTGACAATAGGTACCGAACACTTTTGCCGCCCTACGCAAGCCTGTATCAATCAGATGACAAATGTTAATTCATGAAGGTATGAGCGCATTCAATGGTATAAGACCCATAATAAATCAATTTCCTCATGATGCAAGGAAACCTGCTACGAGTAGAATTCATGTCTGGCGTTTCAATACGAGGGCTGGCCTAGAGTCAAGAGGATGCGGGGAGGTAAATGCACAGCACCTCTGCAAAAACAAGTTTTCGCTCTTTCCATCATCTGTCTACGCACTTAAATGAACTTTTTGCGATTAAACAGAAAGCCTTTAGACGACATGCTAGCTCAAAAGATTTACCTTAGTCAAAACGTCGTAGGAAGTATTAGCATGGCATGAACTCAGCACGAAACCTTCGCAATCACCCGATGGAGTTCCGTAACTTGCGAAGCAGATCCGGGATATTTGTTGCCCCTCAGCACACTCGAGTGTCAGTGGAGCCCTCAGTAGTGTTGAGGTTAGGTTGTCTCTTTTAGTCCAAGAGGTTAGAGAGAAAGGGAATGGGTGTGATTGTGAAATATGGGAGCAAATTTGTTGGGGCATTCGAGTGGCAATAGAGATATCTTTCGGGTTTCCTCCTTTTTCTTCAAACAACACTATGAAGTTGTTTTTGGGAAGCAACCATTGTCGTGGAATGTGGTACCTGCACACTCAAGTCAATGCAGCTAGTGAGTTCATTGCGCGCGTAGAAGGAGCATGTTTATGTGAATTCTGTTAAGGGGATGGGGAAAGCTATCAATACCAATTCTGTGAAGGCTGGTTACACTTGGTGAGACACTTGCTTTGAGTATAAGAACCACGATAATCGCAACTAGCATCGCATCCATCTCGTTGTGCAGTGAAGGATGACCAATATCTGCCCAGATTAACTCCATTCACCCACACCACCCCCTTACCCATGCTGCTTAGGTCTAGGGCAATAGAGCCATTTCCTGCAGGCATGTCAAATCTTGTCTGCACAGGACCACCACCTATTATGTCAATGCTACATAACAGAGAAATGACATTATAGTACGCAACAACAGCGACATATTGATACAATGTTTAAAGATGTTGAACCTTGATCCAAAACAGAAAATTTTGATCGCTGACTTCCGAAATTGTGTTCCACTCTGCTGTCAATGATCCGTTGACTTCGAATAGCTGTTTACTCTCACCCTGAAGTCCAACCTGATAACACAGAGAAATGAATTCGAATTATTCTCTGTATCAAACCACAAGCCTGACCTACATTTCATCATATGTTTAGTGGGGCTCATCAGCAACTAGTAACTGCTCATTTACAGCTGTGTTCATGCTTAGCGGAGTAGTAAATGAGAAAGCAGACCTGGTAAGTCCAAGTGCTTCCTCCCAATTCGATAGTACCAGAAGGCAAGTCCTCTATGCGAACTCCATATTGGATTCCTGCTTTCTCATTCTCTAGGAACGGTCCATATCCCTACATTACGTTCGAACCAAATTCTCAAAAATTCTCGTCTTCGGAGAACCAGGTTATACGAAAACACAATGAAGGGCAATTATAAATGAATTTCGATATATAATTCATATTTTTCGAAAAATATATCTTCAGCAACTGGAACAACTAGAATGAAATCACAAAGTAGTAATATCCATGACAAGCCCTCGTGCTGCACGCCTACGAAGCATCCTTGGCTAATCCTCATCCGACTACTATTTTTACCTACAACCTTCCAAACACCTTTTTGGTTTTACGGCTTCCTTCTACTAAGTGATGGCAGCAACTTCTGTACAATGATCTACAAAGTTATTTCAGCTATTAAGTGTAGCTTATATGCAGTAAACCGAGGCGTCGTTCGCAGGGAGATTCCAGATTGCCTAAGGTCAAGGTCAACAGCTGCTTCTTACCTGTAAGCCCATTGTCATGGACAGGACGGTTATATTGTTACTGCCAGGTCGCAAGCTGATAGGTTGTCTAGCCTCGTAACCGTTGGCGTTCACAGTGCCTGTCATTCACCGCAATTGTTCAGGGCGAGTTAGGAAACTTTCATTGCACGACCACGGTTTGATCCTAGACTTGACGTACTTGAAACTGCAATCCCCTTAGTAGATTATAATAATAATTATAAGAATCAATCTGATAGCCATTAGCTTGACATGTTCAAGTGACGAGTTTATTTTCCATTAGGCAATAACGATGAAATAGAACCTACAGAATCTCGACATGCATAAATTGCTGATGTGAAGTACCAGTATAGAAGCCATTTACGAACGTATGGGCAGCATCACGAAGAGAGGACATTACTAGCGTGGCCTGAGCTGAAATATTTCGGACATCGCTCTCTGCAACCTGTACACTGCCCCCTCCAATGCCATCGTGTCAACCTTTACCAAAGACCTCAATTTTTGAAAAGCAAGCACGAAAGTAGATTGTTAATCATGGGTTAAATGTGAAATTGAGGTCACTAGATTTTAAAGCCCCCGCATGATAATGCGCTCGCACGATACATGCAACAAAATTTCAATTTCTTAAATCTCAATGAATGATGGTTGCCTTGTATTCTAGAATTTAAACATCCACAAAACGCAGCTCCTTTCTCTCGAGAGGATGGTAACAGGAGAAATAGGAATAACTAGAAAGTTTCCAATGTCGACGAAAGTAAGAGATAATTATCTGAGTTATGTGTCCTTACTTTGTCATATACCATAAATAATCTGTCGTGTCCTTGGTCGTGGCAATCTGTTCCAACAGCCCATTCGTAGAAAATACACTTCCCCAAGGCCCCAAAGGCTCATGATATGATACCCAATTAGTTACAGGAACAGCGCCTTGCATGGTCATTATCACGCTTTGCGCTCCCACCTGGTGTAAGATCGAACAAACAGATCACCATGGGACTGCTTAGTGTACTTGCTCATTCCAGTCTTGTAAATGAAGTCACAAATCATATCCTGGGATAGAGGTAATACATGCTCTCAATACGCAACCATCTTCACATTAAAAGCTGACAATAATGGAGGCATGTCTACGTTACGCACCTTAGCAGTATTGAACACAACAGATTTGCAATCAGGTAGAATACTGACAGACCATGCGGGTAGGTCGTAGGGCTGGCCTTGGAACGTCACCAAAGAGTCATTCGTGTCCCAGCTTGCCAAGAAAGCTGCACATGTACCTGAGGAGCTCTGGTATACATGAGCCTGTACTCAGCTCCAACCCGATCCCAACCCTTCAACGTCAGTTGGAGTTGGTGAAACCTAAGAACAAGAGCGTTCGATAATTCTATACAAATTACAGATAGGTCAAGGACAATTCGGAGGTACACATATATCGCGAACTACTGGAGAGTATTGCAAGAATTGTATACGGTGATAAACGATCTCACATTATTCACAAAGTTCTGGAGAGACCATATGATGGTGATAATCGAAACATGTTGCAAAAGCATAGGACAAGCATAAAGTTCGTGAAAATTGGAAACCTTCACCTTAACCTGTGAGATTCCAAGCAAACAGATAGTAAGCTTTAGTCTCGCAAAAATGTAAAATGTGAAATATGTGTAATTACCTCCTGGTTAGGACCAAGGGATATCCCTGTGGGAACAGTGTCGACCTCTACCAAAGCAGGCTCACATAATTTCAAAGCAGCATGTAAATCCTTCAAATGTCCCCACTTAGGCTGCCGTACATCTCCTGTAAACACAACTCATGTTACCATAGAGGACTAGATATTCGCGAATATTTTTGCAACTCTCAGACCATGTAGTAATTCATTAAAATCCTTACTTGGTATCAAACTTTCTGCAACATTCAAAACAAATTGCTAAGAATTACTTCGATACTTAAGACCAAAAGTAACGTATGTGCCAGAAAATAGCAGCGCTGGAGTTGAGATCCAACCATATTCATCAATAGGCGCATCGTAGTCGTAGCTGGTGGTCACACTCTCCACTCCAGTGCGCTCAAAATTGGTCCCTCCGTGATACTGCGAATCTCAACACAGGAAGCTTTCACAATTCCACACTGTACTTTACCCAACAATTCTAATGGTATGTAGATCATGCTTAGAGGATAATGATGTTTATATCAAATTGAAGCGGTAATACCATGTAGTAATTCATAAAACTTCCCCCTTTCTCGAAAAATCTTGCCACAGAAAATGCTATATCCTGCACTGGCCTTGTTGGTGCACCTCCTCCCCAGCTCTGAAACCTGCATATTTCGTGTACTCTTCATTGTTATAACAGAAGTGATTTAAATTTAATTGGAAAAAAAAAAAGTTAAATCTGGCATCTGTGAACATTATATGGGGGAACGCATACTTACCACCCAGTCCAGTTCTCAGTCCAGAAGGCGGGCTTGTCTTCAGAGTTAGGTCTCCATCCATCACAGTAGAAGCCGTTGCACGTATTGATCTGCGCAGATAACAATTCCACCAGCAGATGTTCTTTGTCCATCAGCATCTGGTCTACTGATGATCCTAGGATCAGACGGTGCGAGAGCGGCCATGGCATGTGAACATGTAGATTTAATTTGCAGGTGAGAACTAGATAATTAAAATAACAGCTATCCCTTGGAATTGATTGCATTTGTTCGTGACTTCAGATTTGATCAGTTGGAAATCCAACATGGATCAATCGACTCTTCAGAGAAATCTCGAATTCGGGTTTCATGATTTTAAAGTTGTACAAATGTGGTCAAATCAATTATGTTTTGCTATTCTAGATATTGCTGAAAGACATGAAACTAAGCAGAGGCAGTGCAAGAAAAATTTTGTAAATGAAATACAAATTTCAGGTGCGAACTATCGTACAACAAGTTGAGGAGCTTCAGGTTGCTGGCACATTATCCAGGGCACACTAGTGTTCGTCGCCACCGCCATGTTGGCTATCCAATTCAGATACCTTTGACCCGCTTCTCCATAAGAAGCATCTATGTTGCCGTATTCATTCTCTATCTGCGCATTAATGAAGTCACCAGCTTTGTCCTTAAAGCAACTTTCAGATAGTGCAAGAAAAGCTGCTTCTCAGCAACTGAAAATCTATAATGTTTTACTTGTTTGTGGATACAGAATTAGAGTTGAATATACCTGAGCCATGATAATTGGACCACCTTGCCATGCAAATAGCTTTTCCCTCTTCAACTTTCGAACCAGATGATTAACAAACCGCTGAGTTTCATTCTGCGAGGCAAATCTTTACATTGGAAATTTCCCCCATCGAAGTAGGAAATGAAAACTTCGTAACCCAATCCACTAGATTTCAGCTTCGACGATCTCCAACGCAAGATGGCACAAGTCAAACAATTAAGAACAACAATACAAACCTTGCCACTTTGACACAGTGAAGATCTCAGGGATGGGAGTGAAATGAGGATTTATAAGAACCTTAAAGGGCTCGTTGTCTGTGCGGAACTCAATGCCTGGTATAAAACGCAACCAGGCAGGAAAGCCCCTGCTCCCAACAAAATATGCCGTTACCAGTAAACTCAAATGAATCTTTCATCCCGAGAATTATAAACAAATAACTTTTGAATAATCCATTTGCCAAGAAATCGTGACGAAAAACTGTAAAATCTGGCATTACAAGCTGGAGCCCTTAATCGCATCACATAAATTGCGAATGATCACTGTCGATGAATTCTAACAATTCGGACGTAAACTTACCCAGAATTCCACTCCGCGCACACATAGGGGCCGATTCTCAGATTGACATACATGCCGGCTTCGTAAACCAACCTAATGAACTTCGGCAAGTTGTACCTCCCGGCATAATTATACTGAAATCGACAAGACATAATTGAAATGGGGGTAGAATTCTTGAACAACAAGTGCTCCACTTCTCTTAAGCATTCATACATGAGCTTGACTTTGGTGCTTTAACAAAACTCATCTACTAGCCTGCAGAGCTCATCAAGTCGGGTCGACTCGGTCGCCTTTCAGTCTAAATGTATCTCAACAGAACTCTTCAATAGAATGACGATTACATCTAATCCCACCTGTAATAGAACTGGATCGTATTTGAGCGATACATTTTAATTTATTTTCAGCACATTCTTGTGATGCACTGGTGATGAAATACGAAATACCTTAATTAACCTGCGATTAGGATTATAAATTTTCTGCAGACAACTGAGTGAATTAACTTATTTACAACGTACCACTCCTCTGGTGGGCTCGTGTCCGTTCCAAAACACATATGTCTGGATAACATCCAGGCCTCCCTCCTTGGCCTTAGCAATAAGACCTGGCCACATCTGCATCAATAGATTGTCTATTAATCTAGTTTCATGATCCACAAACAATCTGTTCACTCTAATATAATGTCAGAGGGTACAAGGTCAGCGAGTTCGGAAGCATGCAGAGTAGGAGCTATGGCATAGTTAACAACGGGAACCTTCAATATCCAAGTACTTGTCATTCAAAGATGTCTCATATTTAGAGCTCAATGGGGGTATTCAAAGTCAAATCACAACTGGAACCAATCCAATCCAGTCACAGAGCTTAAAATATGTAGCCAAAAGTGCACAACGCAAATATTTTGTTTAAAAACCACAGGACTATCCACCATGATATAAGAAACTCATCGTCTGAAATATAAGTGTAAATTGTCTTGAATGAAGATACAATGATTCTAGGGAGGTGCACTCACCAGGGGTGTACTCCGTGGATAATGGATAGATCCTGATACAAGCATGCGGCGCTGCCCATCTAGTTTTAAAGCCCTATGGTCATATGAGACAGTCACGGCTACGCTCAAATGATTCTGAAGTAAAACTTCCAGAACCAAGCACAAACATAGCGAAAACCGCGAAACGACCATTATTCTCCGCGACGCAGCCAAACGTGCTTGAGATGTGTCACCAAGCGTGGTCTTGTAATTTCCGTGACGAAATTTTATTGCAACTGTGGGATCAACAAGTCACTGGGTAACTAGTGCTGATGAAACTTCAATGCAGTGTCCCGCCTTGGGAATTCCTTCTTAGCAGCACCAGTTCATTCCTCAGACCATTACCATTAGCTGCTCATGAACTCTTTGACTACGCTCTGATCTGTACTGAGATACAAAAGAGGATACAGATTAGCTCAAGGATTACACTTGCTGAGATATACTCTTAAGCCGTCTGACCTTCCAAGGTTACGATATTTGTTGCGCCGTGCCGAAAAATGATAGATATACAAACTATGTCCCGGCGTTCTAATAAGCTCAACACAAGGCGTCAAGTCTTGGGTAAAATTACATCTTAAAGGGAGCACATAACAAAGACCTCATGACGATCTTTAACTGCTTCGTTTCCTTCATCAAAACTTCTTTACTGAGAACAATAATACTCATTGGTCTAACGTATTATCTTGCCACCATTTCCATCATGGAACTCGCAACATATGGGCTGGGATCATAGAAAGAGCTCCTTCAAGGCAATGCGCTCAAGGAGCTGTTACAAACTTTGCAGCTTCTCTAAGTTAAGACAGCATCACAATGAGATTATTTGAAACTGGTTCGAATCCTTATTGTAGCCAAATTGTCGACTCGTCAGGAACTGCCACTGACGGAAACCTCGACTGCTAAAGATTTCAAGGGTACATCAAATTACTCAACTACACAGTCGTGAGAACGAGAGCTTAGACCTATCCTGTAACTAGAGATGGAATTAATTGCGGACGAAACCGCCGGTCACAGAAAGCAGACTTGGCTGAAGATTGAAATCTTTTCAGTATTCCGGCAGGACTGATGCTCTGTCACTACCCTCCCTTCAGTCTTTTCAGTATCCACTCGATCAAGATCATCACAACTACCACAATGGCGCTCATACCAAAACATCTTTCCATGAAAAGATTTATGGACCATCAAGGCCACCTGCCCAACCGCCGCTCACGTGCACCACTTTAGAGCAACTCAAACGGCCCACTACACCCCCATCATGCTAGACACCAATTACGCGCAACGACAACAGCCATCACAATCTCTTTTTGCAGCTACAAACCTCAGATCAAGCCCTACCAGCTCTCGCTCATATGCAGTGATCATCGTTCAACACGCACGCGCATAGGAGAGGGGGGAGGGAGGGAGGAGCTTTAACAATTATTCGAACACAAAAAACCTACCTGAACTTAGCATGCACTCTTGCAGGCTTCAACGTCCATAAGAATAGCACAAATGAAACCCAAGCTCTCTTTCCTCATCACCTTCACCATCACTTTGAGGATCTCTCAGCGTCACCATCTCCCAAGCATTGAAAGCAGCTCTGACATGCGAATGAATTCCTTGCTTGCTTGCTTGCTTTCTTCCTTTTCCACCCCTCTCTACCTCTCTTCACAAGCTTTATTACCTTGTTCGCTCGCGGGAGTCACACAGTGTCCAGCTGCTACCACGGTCGCCATCGCGGTCAAACGCTCCATAGCCTCCTCCTGCAGCAGCACTGTCTCTCTTGCAAGCAAATTAGCATCCATAGCTCGCTGCGGCTAAATCCGAGTGAAGAAATTCAGTTAAACTCATTGATGACGATCCAGCCCTTCCTTCCAGTAGACCCAGATTCAAACCCAGACAATAAAACGAAACTTTTTTCCAGGGGCAGCAGTTGTCCTGCCCAACCTGTGATCATGAGGGCAGGTGGGGCAGTGACGTTGCATGCGTCGTGGGGTTTCGGGCACTACGGGGTGCCAACCTCTCGTTCACCTCCCAAATTTACTGTGTGGGTTCGTTTTCTTTCATTCTACAGGGCAATTTCAGTTCTTCAGTGGCTTGGGAACCGTGTTTGGGTGCAATATTTTTGCTGTTCTCAGAGTGAAGCTGATAACGAAAAATCAGGTACCCTGCAGGAGGGACGTAATATATTTATATTTATATATATTTATATATGCAAGATGTATGCTTACATTGAGAGGGGGGGGGGTCAGTCACGAACCCCAGCTGCTGTTTCCATGATTTGTCCTTCTATGTGTTCATGGGCTAAGGATTTTTCCACTATAAAACTCTATTTATGATGGTGTAATATTTTAGTTTCTATTTATCTGTGGTTGTAAGATTTTGCGTTGCATTGGACATTGCTAGCATCATTTTTTTTTACTTAATTATTACACGGATGTTTACATTGTTTATATCTGTGATTAACAATGATAATGATAATTGTAAAGATATTTATTGTGGATTTCTAATTAATGTATGTTTGTGTAGTATTCTATGATTTATTAAAACTTAATAAAATAGGGTAATATGTAATTGTGTTCTTCTCTAGATTATTTGTGAAACATGCCCTTGTGAATTTATAATTATTTGAAAATAGGCTTGATTTTTAGATTGATGTGCAAGTTAATTGATAAGTTATTGATGGTTTATCATGATTTTAACATATAATCTATAGGATTTACAAGGATATTTTTAAAAGATTTGTAATTAAACTTGGATTTTAATAATTGAACTCAATAAAAAAAAATCCTTTTATAGAATTATAGTACATTACTAGGTAATAATATTCTGGCATACTTAGTAGACTAAAAGTACTCCAGATACTACAATTCTTTTTCTTAAGGTTCACAGAATATAAAATTTTATGAATATGATATGAACTCTTATAAAATGGCATTATGGTTTTAAAAATAATTTCAAAGCAATTTTTTTGATGAAAATTATAATATTTGATAGAATTATTCAGTTCTATATTAAATATAGAAGAAAATAGCATAAAAGGACTAAAATAGTATCAAGTGAAGGTGTAAGGATTAAACAAATGAGTTATTTCTATTGGTACATACATAAATAAGTTTGATGGTAATTTATGCAATTGATGTGTAAAGGGAATATAATATTGTAAAAAAATGTATAGATTCACAAGGGTAACAAAAAGTACACAAATGATATTAAGATAACCAGAAGGTTATAGATAAGTAGTGATACCATAATGTAACAAGATCGTTTATTTTCACTTATAATACATTCTTACAATCAATTTGCATAAAAATGCTTAGTAGCAAGATTAATTAATCACTTTCAAGGATTTTTTTTTAGTTTATAAATATATCCTAATTACATATCCCTTAATTAAGTTAACGTCAATAAAGAGAGAAATTTCTAATTTCTAATTTCTTTACATAAACCATAACCAATCATTCCTTTAAAAAGCTGTACATGTACACTCACCATAACTATTTTAGTATATGTTTTTTATTCACGTTTTAGTTTAAGAGTAAGACATCCAATTATGGTAAAAGGATTTTAAAATAAATTAAAAAAATCTTTTTTGAGGTCATATAAGTTATTTTAGAAAAAACTACTAAAAATGTAGATGTTAAATTTTACATATATGTGAGGGAAAAAACTTAAGTTGAAAAATTATATTTTTATTTAAAAATTCAAACTGTTAAATTGATTTAATTGAATAATTCAGTTATTGAAAAAAGAATTTTAAAACTGAATATTATTGAAACTCAAATGCTCACTTTTAGATACTTCTATATATCATGTATTCTTTTAGTATTTAAAAAAAAATTGTTTGTTTTAATTTTTGAAGATTTATTTACTTTTGAATTACTGAATAAAAAGATATTATTGTTTGTTTTAAAGTATTAAGCTCATAGTTTTATTCATTTATCCAATGTCTCTACTTTTGAATGTAGTTCCTCATTCATGAATGAGGGAAAGAGAAGAAAAAAGAAAAGAAAAGACAAAAGAAACTGCTAAAAACTCTTTTTACGAAACAGAAGAAAAAAGAAAAGAAAAGATAAAAGAAACTGCTAAAACCTCTTTTTACGAAACAGAAGAAGAAATGGGTGTAATTCTATCTGCAGTGAATTTATAAGTAATACATTGCGTTTAGGGAAATGCAGAGAGAGAGACTGGATGTCTGAAATGGCAGTTCAGAAGGGGACGAAAAACAAATACCACACTGAACGAACGAACGAACGAACGAACGAAATGTCAAACTGGCAGAGTGGCAAATGAACGAGATCGTTCGTCGATCCGAACTTCGTCTGTCCGCAACGAAGACGACGACGTCGGCAGAAGCCAGCCCTCGCCGCCGTCCCCCAAAGTCATGCGGCAGATGACGGCTGCAAGCGGCGTCGCCGATTCGTCGTCATAGGACCCCACAACGACAGCTGGTCTGCGATGACAATCCAGCCTTGTCATCAATTCTAATTTGATAAACTCAGAAAACGTGGGAACAATCTAACTGCGTTCAATTGCTGATGATGCTCAAGGAATTGGCTAAATATTCTCCCTGTTGCGTGTCACGTGTGGAATGGTACTCTCGGGATGCAATTATCTTTGCTGTCGTCTCGGGTTTGCGATGGCTTGTTGACACCTCCGTGCTTTGCAATATGACATTCTCACGATTCTGCGTGTATTTCAGACTTGTTAGTCTAAGCTCTGCGTTTGTGAAACTTTAGATTTTGGCCTGTTTTTACTGGGTTTTCCTCAGTGAACGATACGAGGGGGCACCGAGAGCATGAGAGGAGATGCGCTACCGAGACGTTTGAAGCTATAAACTTGGAGTGGTCAATGGTTTGAGTGGAGTTCTGATCGTTGTAGACGTGTTTGTGATCATGGCGGGCTCAAGCAGGCGACTGAAGCCAACGTTGGAACCAATCTCTGAGAAACGGCAGGTTAAGGTTTGCGACCGTCGTAGAGCTTCGGCGTGTTCCAGTATCTATCGAGGACAGGTCGGCGGAGAAGAATCTTCATGCCCCAGTTCGGCGAAGAACAGACGCTTGAAGTGCTTGAGTAGTCCGTTGGTGAAGCTCAAGGATGCGGTTGTGGAGCTCATGGTGAGTCCCAAAGGAGCAAAGAGTCCGCACGCAATGGGCATGACCATGGGAGCGCTGGTTGACTTCGGCGGATACGAAGACTTCTCTTCGCTTCTGCGTTCATCTAATCGCAAGGTTAATGACTCCCAAGCGTGAGATAAGCCTCACACTGCGTATGTGCCAGTAGTTCGAAGCCTAGGATTGTCGTAGAGCATGCGAAATCTCAGCAGCAGCGGCCAATGTGATAGGGTGTACATAGAATCTTTGTTCGTGGTTCAACATCGCAAAATGGACATGATGCAAATTGTATAGACTTACCGATTCCAGTCAAACCTGCTGGCAACTTTGTTATTTTACCTCCCAGATTGCAGTTGAATGTGTTTGCTTGTTTGCCGAGAACAAACCACCTACGGTAATCGGCCGGCTCACCATGGAGGGTATGCACATGCCGAGTTCAGTTACGTTTCTCTCAGATTTCAAGTCGTAAAAGTTGAGATTTGAAAATGACGATATCATGCACACCTCAAACCCTCCATGCGAAGTGAATTGGCTACCGCACAGCTACCGCACAGGTGCCGCTTCTAGCCAGATTCCTACCACAGGCAGGAACCAAACATCCACAAATCTACACACACACACACACAAAAATATTGCAAACACTACCACGTCCAGGTGACGCAACAAACACGTTCGTTGAGTGCCACCTTCAATTCTGCAACGCGTGCACATTCCAATCCTCTCGGAAGTGGACCGATTCCGCCACCGCTCGTCGGTCCCACAGTGGCACTCACTCGGCATCGGATCCATTGCATAAAACGCCCTTGTAATTAGATCATAGATGCTACGTTTTTCACAGCTTCATGATATTATCTTTTATGTGATGTGGGTCCACCTCAGCAGTGATCTTAATAGAGTATTACAGCTGGCCGACTGCCCGGATTTGCTGCTCAATGCCTTACGGTGGCGGCTTCATAAACTGCATCTGCAGGTTGCTGAAGCCACCGTTAAATTCCTGATGCTGGGATATGGTACATGGGGTGAAACTGCCATCACTGGTTGTAAAATTTCCGGACCAATCACATCGGATGCGCGTTTTTGTTGCCATTTTCGAGACCCATATACCATAATTTTGCCAATTTTCTCACAGGTCACACATACAATAAACACATCAACAAATAATGGGGGTGGAGCATCTGGAACTGAGTTGAATGGTGACCATGAACATCAGGATAGCCCTTCGAAAGGCACCTTTGATGGTGATATCTCATGATCAAGTGTGAAAGCAACAGAATTGTAATATGTTGTGTTGTGTTTTGTGTGTTTTAGGGTTGGAATTGTCTTGTTGGCTTACATTTGGTTAATCTCAGTGGCTTTTGTTTTGCTTTGTTTTGTTTTTAATTGTTTGTCATGAGCTTGGTGATGGTATTTAATTTTTGTGATCTTTTAAAGTGATTGTGCTATACTGATGTTGGGATTTTTGAGACCCAAGTAGAGTATATGGTATATGTTTACAGGGCATATGATTTTTGATACCCAAGCATTTAAAATAAAACAAACCAGACTATGCAAATATTTTAAAATTAGTTTAAGATAATAATTGTTCAAATTTTATAATCTAAAATTGTTTCAAAATAAAATTCATCATGTATCTATGAAATCAATGTTCATAAAAAAATTGCTAACAACCTATTTCTAACATCTCAAAATTTATAAAATATATATGTAAAGTGTTTTTTTAATAAAAATATACTAAA